CCTACCTTCTGAACTACAGAGGTGCTGAGAGGAGGAGCTTCATGGGGCGGAGTCAGTACAGGTATCACTGCTTGCAGGGAGCAAGGTACCATGGGATATGTAGTCTTTGGAAATAGAAACAGCAGAGGAGAAGCTGTATGCAGAAGTTATAGAAAGAGATGGCCAGCAGACAGGCAGCACTCACGACATGAAGGCTGCTTTCACACTGATCCGCTTTTGGTGCGTTCTTCAGTTCTAAAAAGCGGAAAAAAAAAAAAATACTGCTTTCTGCTTTTTTGGTGCACGTTTGGTCCAGTAAAAAAAGATGCACCAAAAATGCATCCTTTCATTGCAATGAATGGAAACCGCATGAAAAATGCAACACACCTGTGGGACGTTCTCAAGCCCAGAATCGCATGACAAGGGAGATCACATTATATTCACTGGTGCCCTTTCTAATCAACTCAGCACAGTGCAATTTTAGAAAAGGTTCCTGGTGGACTTCAGTGTGATTTCAGCCCCATAGACTTCTATGTTATCTCACAAAAGTTGCATCAGCATTGATAAGAAGCATTCCACTTTGATGGATTCAGTGTTTTTTTTAACCCTCACCTTTCCTCCCTGGTCATACTTAATCCATTGATTTTGATACAGCTGTGATTTTGGAGCCTTCTTTCGATCGATCGACCTTTCCTACAATCAGTCGACCAACCCTTTCTTCGATCAATCCATTGACCTTACCTTCGATCAATCTTTCCTTCAGTCGATCGATCCTTCCTTTTATCAATTGATTGGTCATTCCTTTTATCGGTTGATTGATCTCTCCTTTTATCTATTGATCGATCCTTCTTTTTAGTGAGTGAACTTTCATTTTATCAACCGATCATTCCGTCTATCGATCCATTCTTCACTTTATCGGTCAAAGGAATGATCAATTGATCAAAAAAAGGAAGAGTCGATCAATCGATAAAAGGAAGGATCAAAACGGCTTCAGTGTGAGTCTAGATTCTAGGCAGCAAGAATGAGGGAGGAGAGGTGATGGTTACAAAAAAAAAAACACTGATCCATCAAAATCCTGTAAGAATGTTTCTTATCTATGCTGATGCGATTTCAAATCAAAGTCACATCAACAGTCGCACTGGAAATTTCATGAAAATTGCATTACACCCGGTCACACTGGATGCGAATTTGCCATGTGACTTGCAAATCGCACTCTCAGCGGTGTCCTGAGGCAGGTGCGGGGGGTGCGGCCCTCACTGGATCGGATCTGCGGATTGGGGAGCATAATGGATCGGACTCCAATCCATTATGCTCAATCCGCAGATCCGAACCATCCTGCGGGGATCGTCGGCATGCAACCTATACAGGGTGACACCGGACCCGCTCCACGAAAAAGGTAGGTTGTAAAGAAAGCCGACGATCCCCGCAGGATTGATCGGATCTGTGGATTGGGGAGAATAATGGATCGGAGTCCGATCCATTATGCTCAATCTGCCGATCCGATCCATTCTGTGGGGATCGTTGGAGGGAGTGTCACCAAGTTTTATCACACAGGGTGACACCAACCCTAGGGACGCCCCTGCGCACCCTATTGTCTGCTATTAGAGCGGTCATATTGGTGCGGTTCCAACTTGATCACAGCCGCACCGATTTCTAAAGTAGTGCATGCACTACTTTTGGTGCGATTTGCATAGACATCTGTGTCAGATTTCTTGCAAATCGCACCTGAAATTGGAAAGTCACCCAACTTTGAAATCGTGCGACTTCACTGTAAGTCATAGGATTTCAAAGTCGGGTTTGATGTGACCGGGGTATTAGAATAGTAGGAAATACTATGGGGTAAACGCAACGCAAACATACCAAAAACGCATAAAAAATGCATAATGCATTGCTTTAAATTTAACGCAATGTGGGAAAAACGCTGCAAAAATCCTATGCATATTTAATGCGTTTTCATACAGAGCAGTGTGAAAGTAGCCGAAAGAGGATATTTAAAGTAAGTGTATAGTGGATTGTCAAATCCAATTGTTTCTACTCTTATTATAATGCTGATGTTAAATGAAAGTGTATGCTGTCACTTTAGAACTCCTTTGATTATAGGGAGTGGATTAACATAAACTTAAATGATAGCCTTGCATTAAAATCATTTTAAGAAAAAAAATGAACTGATGACAGATGAAGTTGCAGAACCTCTCAGGAGATAAAGCGTTAGCAGTCTGCCGACCTGTGTCCTCCTATTCACTTGACATTCACTTGTTCAGCGAGGAATACGTCCCTTTATTCTGCATCCTGATGTCATCAGCCCTGGATCCCAGTGACATTTTACAGGGAAAAGGGCAGCCAGTTCCCAGGAAGGGGAGTCACATGACATACGGTCAGAGGTCACCACTGGTCCCCAGCTGATAAGGACGCCTTTCCAAAAAGGCCACATTTATTAGCAGAAAACACTGAGTCAATTACTAACTACTGAAAAAGACCTTTTACCCAGAGACCGTAACTCATTAGGAGAGACTAAAGACATTTTGAATGAAAAAAAAAAAGCGTAAACTATAGTCTGACTAGCAATTTCTGTGAATTGATTAGGAGATAAATGGTGCTGATGTGACAGACAGGAGCTATACAGAGATGCAGGTGTCCACACAAAGCTGGATAGGGAACTGCAGCAATGGGATTCTAATTAGGCTGATAAAGATAAAAACAAAATTATGAGTACTGCTTCTACTAACTAGACCATGCAAAAGATAAAGGGTGGCTCCATTTCAAACTGATAATTTAGCTTTTTGCTAGATGTTGGAGAGGTAAAATGTGATTAATCCCAAAACTGTCAATACATGCTACATTATATGGTGCTCATACTCACTCAGCCACTAGAGTATTTGTTTTCTGTGGATTGCAAAAAAACAGTTTGGTCCTGCTGTTGGCTGTCCCTCCCTCCTTGTATGTGTCCCAGCTGTAGCCTGAGATTGTATAGACCAGCATTCATCACATCTACTGAGCATGCTCCAGTTTCAGTTGCTTTTTAAACTGTTAATTTCCTCTTTTTTCCCACATGACTATAAAGTCACATATGTAGGTGTATACACAGTGGTACATGACACTCCCTCTCCCTCTTCCTCCATGTCTTCATATTGCTAAACACTATGGAGGCAGGATATGATGTTGATTGATGGAGGCTTCACACCCTGTTAGTTTCAGCATATACACTCCATAGACACAGGCTGGAGGGACGTGACACAGCCTGTGATTTGCAGATTCTCCTCCAGATCTCTTTACAGTGTGAACAAAGTAAAAGTTATTGTTCATCAACTTAAACTCCACCTGAGACTACATGGGACTTGTAGTCTCACAGCCTAGTTACTCCATATTCTTCAGCATTGTCTGGACTACACTTGCCAGAAGGAAAGAAACTGAAGGGCGTTCTGGGGAAGGGGATATATTTCCCTGCAGCAGTCGAGCTGGAGCTCTTGGCATGGGGATGTGGAGCTGGACAGTGGGGAGTGTGTCTCTTTCCCCCTCAGGACCAGGCTCACCACCATTTAGCGCAGTGATCCTGCTTGGCAGCCCAACATAACCCAGCACCGCAGGGTGAACCTAAACCTTCCAGGGACCGCAGAAATCAGGTCAGCCACTGCTAGTCACCCTACAAGTATCGCTATCCACTGTCCTGATCAGTTGTCAGGAGGTGACTACTGTACTCTGCCAGGAGCCTGAACCACCACTGCAGATTTCGGTTGTGTCACCTCCCAGAGGACTGGTGAGCGGGTGCAAGACCAACATTCTCCTTAACACAGTATAGACACTGCATGCAGACACCACTCCTCCGCTTGTATATCAGAGGATACCTGTTATCACTGTTAACCTATCTGCCCTTTACAGCATACAATCTACCATCCTACCAAGTGAATGCTATTTAAATCAAGCCTGTTCAAACCTACATTCAAGGGCTCCACCATTTGCCAGCAGAAGACATCAGAACACACACTATATTGCCAAAAGTATTGGGATGCCTGCCTTTACACGCACATGAACTTTAATGGCATCCCAGTCTTAGTCCGTAGAGTTCAGTATTGAGTTGGCTCACCCTTTGCAGCTGTAACAGCTTCAACTCTTCTGGGAAGGCTGTCCACAAGGTTTAGGAGTGTGTCTATGGGAATGTTTGACCATTCTTCCAGAAGCACATTTGTGAGGTCAGGCACTGATGACGGACAAGAAGGACTTGCTAGCAGTCTCTGCTCTAATACATCCCAAAGGTGTTCTATCGGGTTGAGGTCAGGACTCTGTGCAGGCCAGTTAAATTCCTCCACCCCAAATCCGCTCATCCATGTCTTTATGGACCTTGCTTTGTGCACTGGTGCACAGTCATGTTGGAACAGGAAGAGGCCATCCCTAAACTGTTTCCACAAAGTTGGGAGCATGAAATTGTCCAAAATGTCTTGGTATGCTAACGCCTTAAGAGTTCCCTTCACTGGAACTAAGGGGCCAAGTTCAACCCCTGAAAAACAACTCCACACCATTTTCCCTTTTACCAAACTTTACACTTGGCACAATGCAGTCAGGCAAGTACCGTTCTCCTGGCAACTGCCAAACCCAGAAATGTCCTTTGGATTGCCAGACAGAGAAGAATGATTTGGCACTCCAGAGAGAACACGTCTCCACTGCTCTAGAGTCCAGTGGCGGCCTGCTTTACACCACTGCATCCAACGCGTTGCATTGCACTTGGTGATGTAAGTTTTGGATGCAGCTGCTCGGCCATGGAAACCCATTCCATGAAGCTCTTTACACACTGTTGTTGTGCTAATCTGAAGGCCACACGAAGTTTGGAGGTCTTTAGCTATTTATTTAATTATTTCAGATACTTTTTCCAGGTAAATTTACGCAGCGCTTTACATATATATTGTACATTCACATCAGTTCCTAACCTTCAAGGGGCATACAATCTAAGGTCCCTAACTTACATTCATACATACACATACTAGGGCCAATTTAGACAGGAGCCAATGAACCTACCAGCATTTCTTTGGAGTGTGGGAGGAAACCGGAGTACCCAGAGGAAACCCACGTAGGCACAGGGAGAACATGCAAACTCCAGGGAGAAGATGTCAGCTCGGTCATGTGATCAGCTGTGTCCAATCACAGCTGATCACATGTAAACAGGGAATTGCCGGTTATCGGCATTTCTCTCCTCTCGAGCTGTCACGCTGACAGCTCGAGAGGAGAGCCTGTAATCGGCTTTCCGCGGAGGGGACATGTACACTGATCATCAGGGCACTGATGATCAGTGTGCCCTGATGATCAGTGTAGCCCCAGCAGTGCCACCTGTCAGTGTCCATCAGTGCCTTATGTCAGTGCCTCATGCCAGTGCCCATCAGTGCCACAACAGTGCCACATATCAGTGCACACCAATGCCACATATCAGTGCCCATCTGAGCTGCCTTTCAGTGTCACCCATCAGTGCCAGTCAGTGCCACCTATCAGTGCCAGTCAGTGCCACCTATCAGTGCCAGTCAGTGCCGCCTATCAGTGCCAGTCAGTGCCATCAGTCAGTGCTGCCTATCAGTGCGCATCAGTGCCGCCTATCAGTGCCAGTCAGTGCCGCCTATCAGTGCCAGTCAGTGCCGCCTATTAGTGCCAGTCAGTGCTGCCTATCAGTGCTGCCTATCAGTGCTGCCTATCAGTGCTGCCTATCAGTGCCATGTATCAGTGCTGCCTTTCAGTGCCCATCAGTGATGCCTGTCAGTGCCCATCAGTGCCACCTACCAGTGCCTCCTCATCAGTGCCCATCAGTGCCACCAATCAGTGTCCATCAGTGCAGCCTATCAGTGCCCATCAGTGCAGCCTCATTAGCGCACATCAGTGAAGGAGAAAAAATCACTTATTTACAAAATTTTATAACAAAAACTAAGAAAAAACATTTTTTTTCAAAATTTTCAGTGGTTTTTGGTTTGTTTAAGAAAAAATTATAAACCCAGAGGTGATTAAACACCACCAAAATAAAGCTCTATCTGTCACAAAAAAATGGTAAAAATTTTATATGGGTACAGTGTTGTTTGACTGCGCAATTGTCATTCAAAGTGCGACAGCGCTGAGAGCTGGAAATTGGCCTGGTAGTGGGTAGTGGTTAATTTGTTGCGCTATAAAAAAAAAAACCAAAAAACAATATTTTCAACTTTTTGCTATAAAACATATCCAGTAAAAAAAAAATGTAAAATGCCCCATGTAAATGAGATTGAATATACCATGTATGTCTCATTGAGAATGACCACCAGGACAAATAGAAAAGGTAAATCTCCCCAGCTGATAAACAGATAACAGTAAAAACCTGACAGAGGATTTAATCCTCCCCACTCCATCCAAAATGGAAACAAAATTTGCCATAGCCATACTGTAACTTTTTTGGCAGCTGAAAAGATGAACAGTTGTGGAGGAAAGAAGGGACCAAATATTGTACAGATAGGACTACACCCTAGTTTGACCATCCCTGTTCCTTTACGGGACAAAAAATCTGTACAACCCAACTAAAATTGTACCTTCTTGGACATAGGAGTGGGAAGGGGGAAATGGCTTTTGAAACTTGTACTCTCCAGAAACCTCACACTCACATGTCGTTGGACCGCGCAGCAAGTGCAGCCGAGAAAGCTTCCGCATATACGACACCTTAACTGAATCTTATGCCTGCTTGGCACAAAGTTTTATTTTCGCTTTATCTCAAGAAACCATGCCACAGAGCACTTAATAACTCAGCCACCCTTAATGCAGTCCCATTTGTAACTCATCTTTCAAAGCAAAGTAGAAGCATTACTTACAATAGCTAAAGAAACACCATTCTCTCCAGCCAAGGTTTTAGAACGTAAATGGATTTTCTGTGTCGCCAGGTCCCTTGACACTGAATCCATTAGCTCTTTTGTGACAGTTAAAACACGGAGAGTAACATCACTCACCAATATTAGGGATCGGGGGCATGTTAGGCCACTGGCTCGGTACTTTTCCCGGCCGTTCAACGCCACTCTTCCTATAACTCAGGTGGAAGAGAATGACATAGGATGGGAAAGACACCAAAGGCGTTTCTCCAAAGTACAAATGCCTGCACATAAAATCACTCTACATTAAAGGAAAAGAAGCCGTAAAATGTTAGGCTTGTTTGATGGTGCCCAGTGTAATGGAGCCAGTGTTATATTAAAGCAGACCTGGATTTAAAAAGTTAATCTGAGTTATTTTCGGAAACTAGCTGCAAAATGGAAGTGGTCATCAAGCGTCAGAAACAGAACTTTATAGAAAAAAAAAATGGCTCTCGCTGCCAGTCCATCACATAGCCTCTAGGGGCGCTTTGTCACTACAAGGCACAGCCAGGCAGTCAGCAGTTCTGATCAAAACAGCAATGCTCGCTATTAGTGGAGACCACATGACTTATGTCTTAGCACTGGTCATGTGACTAGATCCTGGTCAGAACAAGGATTAACTTTTTTTTCCTAAAGTGATTGTAAGGTCATTTAAAAAAAACAAAACACAAACGTTATATTTACCTGCTCTGTGTGGTGGTCTTGCACAAAGCAGACCTGAACCTCCTCTTCTAGGATCCTCACTGCCATTCTCAGCTTCTCCTCTTCTTGTCTTCTTGGTGGTCCCCTATAGAAGCCACTTTCTATGTTGTAACGGCCTGCAGGCTTGCTCCTCAGCAGCCCTGCCTGCATCCATAGACACAGACATGTTGGCTTGGCCCAGCCCTGGTCCCTCATGATAGGATTTGACTGACAGCAGCTGTAGGCAATGGCTCCCACTGCTGTCAGAAAAGCTTGTGAGAGTGGAGAGGGAGAGAAGACAGAGCCACTGCAGACAGATCGAGTACGGACTCCTCCTCAGACAAGTATGGGGGGGGGGGGGGGTGAGAGGGCAATACTAATATCTAAACTAGTTTTGCCTTAAACTGTTACTGAACCCACAGCAGTAAAATCAGTCTGTATATGCAGTACAGCATGCTTGTTATACTCACTGTGGAACCTAAGGGGTTAATCCTCTGCATAGTGTAAAAAGGATGTTTGATCATGTCTTCTCTGATCCTTCCCTTCTTCTACTGTCCCCAATCTACCTGCTGATAGAACAGAGCCTTGGTGGCAAGCCGCACATGCTCAGTTTGGTGCAGTGCTCATCATAAATAGTACACCTCAACAGATTTGTCAGAAAACCTTTACTTTTCTTTCAGAATCCACATTTTCTATGGGACACTATACTACAAAATACTCCCACAAATGCGGGCCATTGAATGCAGACAATATTTGTTAATTTGCACACACGATAAAGTGTTTTTCCTAACAAATTCATTCTAGACCATGTTGCAAAAATGAATATACCCTGATGAAAGTCTAAGGAGCAAAGATAACATTTACACCACAAAATTCTAATTAAGAAGAATTCAGCTACAGGTAAGTCTAATTATTCAATAAACAGGGGTCCAGCAGATAGTTGATTATAAAAGAGTCTTACTTATTAAAGAAAACCCCTTCCTATTTCATGCTGTCAGCAATGACATCACATGGAAGAGAAATGTCACAAGGCCTGAGAAAGAAAATAATTTCTTTACAGGAGAAAGGTGAAAGCTACCAGAAGATCAGCAAAGCTTTACTTATCAGTCAGAATACTGTAGCAAAAAGTGATACAAAAATTTAACAAAGATGGAACGGCAACCATCTCACAGAGACATCTAGGCCATCCATGGAAGTGAACACCTCGACAGGAGCATCTTCTGATGAGAAGGTTTGAAGAAAATCGCCATGCAAGTCCACTGCAGTTTGCTAAAGAAGTAGAAAGCCAAACTGGGGTGATTGTTTTGCATGACACAGTACGGTGTACACTGCAGTAAAATGGCATGCATGGTTGTTGTCCATGAAGGATGTCTTTCCTAAAGCCCATGCCCATGCTAGGGCCCATGTTGAAAATGAAGAAGACTACTGAGACTCTGTACTCTGTAGTGATGAGACCAAGATAAATGTTTTTGGAACTGATGGCTTCAAAACTGTATGGAGTTGCAAAGGTGAGCAGTACAAAGAAAAATGCATGATGCCTACAGTAAAATATGGGGGTGGCAGTGTCCTTCTGTGGGGCTGCATGAGTGCTGCCAGTGTTGGGGAGCTGCATTTTATTGATGTAACATTCACATATGTACTGCACTTTTCCAACATGACAATGATCCAAAACATACATCCAAAACCACTGTTGCATTTCTGAAGAAGAACAGGGTGAAAGTGATTCAGTGGCCAAGTATCTGAACCCAATCGAACACCTATGGGGAATTTTGAAGTGACAAGTTAACCATCACTCTCCATCAAGCATCCAGGCTCTAAAAGAGGTAGTTCTTGAAGAATGGAAAAAGATTGATGTTGTAATATGTCGCCAACTTGTTAATTTCATGCCTAGAAGACTTGGTGCTGTCATTACAAATCATGGAGGTCATACAAAATACTAGATGTAGTAGTTTTTGTTGTGGGGTGTATTCATTTTTGCATCAACTAATTTGAGTAAAACTGAAGATTTTGTAATTGAAGTTATATTATTAACCTTACTTTCATGTAATGAGCTAAACAAATGTTATATAAAACTCAGTTTTGTCAAAATTGTGGAAATTGTTCTTGCGTTTATTTAGATATTGATTAAAATCCTACTTTTCAAAAGGGGTGTACTCATTTATGCTGAGCACTGTATGTATTACTAGAGAGGTTTTTTTCTTTTTCTTGGGAGAGTGCATGTGATAAGCACAGGACCAATCAGAACTGTCCAGACAGAGGATCGGGGTCCTGCAGCCTCATAGAACAATCAGGGGAGAATGAAAACTCCTCCTACAAGCTTAAACCAGTGCTCTGCTGGACACTGATAGAAGTCACAAGACTGCAGTAACTGCTAATGAGAAAAGGTATTTAGCAGTTTATATTTACTAAAATAATTGCATTTCCATGTTCTATGTACTGTGGGAGACCAGATATTGTGAATGCAGGGTCCTGGGTTTAGTAACACTTTAATGTGGGAAATGCTTTAAAACCACTTTAAAGTGGATCTTCACCCTCAAATGGATGTAAAGGTATAAAAATGCCCCAGTACTGTGCCCAGCTACTGGTCTTTTCTCCCCACTCTCTGCTCTCAGTGCATTACACTGACATTACAGCCATTGGCTCCTGCTGCTGTCAGTCAAATCCTTTGAGCAGAGAACAGGGGCAGGGCTGAGTCGAATATAGACGCACACAGCCTGGCTCGGGATCGAATCTCCGATAGCAAGCGGCTTGATCTGTTTGCTATTTGAAGGCAGACACAGAAGAGGAGAAGCATACAGCATCAGCGGGGGATCCCAGAAGAGGAGGTTTGGGGCTGCTCTTTGCAATACATGTTTATATATATTTTTTTAGATTTTAGGGAAAAGGAAAACGTAGATTTTTCAACTGCTTTTATGACTAAGCTGACCCAACTGCCACCTCCATGTCCAATAGAAGTGCCTTTACTTCCCTCTGAGGCAATCACAATGGACGCTAGACTGGCAAGGATAGAGCAA